AAATACAGTTCCTATTGGTTGTAGGGCACATGGTCCTTTTTCTCTGTGGCTGTCAATCTTAACTCCCAAAGGCCATCTGTTCATGGCCTTCTCACAATGTGACAGTTTACTGCTTCTTCTAGGCCAGCAAAATCATGTCTCTTAGACTTAGAATCCAGTCTCTGACCTTGGAAAGTCCTTGTTAAAGGATTGCCTGATTAAGTTAGTCCTGCCCAGGATGATCTCCCTTTTGATTAACTCCAAGTTGATTGTTTTGGGACTTAATTATGTCCTTAAAAATCCCCTAACCTAATCACAGGATGGACTGAAATGTTCCCACCATACTCTAGGGGACAAGATTATGCATAATTCTTCCTACTACAATATCAAGTTATTTTATTTTTTAAAGTGAAAAAACAAAAATGCTGCAAAAATAATCTAAGTTGATAGGAGTCAGGTGGCAATCCCTTTGTTGGGTGGGGTATATACAGGGAGGAAAGAATGAGGAGGCATCTGTGTTCTGCAAATGTTCTGTAGCTTAACCACAGAGACAAAAACACAGTGGTGCACTTTGTAAAAACTCATCAGTTGTAGACATAATATTTAAGGACTTTACAGATGTTATACTGCAATACGTTTATATAAACATAAAAAGGTTTTCAGGAGGATTTCTTTAATTATACAAAAGAATGATAGCTAGCATTAAAATTGTGTAAGATGGGCATTGGTAACTACTTGAAATTAGTTTATGCCCCTAAGCCATTTAAATATCCTGATAAATTTACATGTATCTTTAATTTACTTAGAACGTTTTCTTGTAAAAATATAAAAAAATCAAACTTTAATCTGACTCTTCCTCCTTTGCACAGAATTTGTGTGCTCACAAGATAAATGTAGAGACAGCAGTGTCACTGTATGCATTTGCTGAAATGGGCAAGAAATAAAAGACTGATGGGCCTAATTTAGTAGGATTGATAAAATCTTTATATCCTTAGCATATAGTCTAGAAACACCTTTAAGAAACACAAGGCTCTTGTAAGAGAGAGGCCCAGGCACTATTTGCAGAGCTGGCCAGCCCAGATCTAATTCCCTTCTCTACACTCCCATTCTGTTCTAAGCCAAGGAAATCACACTATTTCACATTGAATATACATGAACACATCTTTCCAGGAAAATACATTACCCAACTTATTGTAATCAATACATATAGAAGTCACATAAAATTCCATAAAATTCAATGTTTTATTTAAGAATAAAACATTACTAAACAGACTTGGAAAGTATATTAAAATAAGAACTTAAGATAAAATGGTTCACCAATGCAAGGATAGTTCAATAGCCATAAATCTATTATATAATTTATAATATCAAACTAAGGAGAAAAAAATCATACAAACATCTTAAAAGGTGCTGAAAAGACATTTGATAAAATTTACCATTTATGTATGACTGAAAATACTTTTATTAGAATAGGAAGGTTATGTCCATAAAAGGATAAGATATATCTCAGTCAACCCAGAAGCCAGTATCATGTTTAAATGGGAAAACACTAGCAGCATTCTCATTGAGTTTAGAAATGTAATAAGATTATCATTCGCAAAATTGTTTGGTTTGTTTTTTGGTGCTGGGAATTGAACCCAGGGCCTTGTGCATGTGAGGCAAGCACTCTACCAACTGAGCTATGTCCCCAGCTTAAGATTATCATTATTAATATTTTTATTTAATATTGTTCTGGAGATTCTGTAACAAAAGAAACTAGGGGCACAAAATAAGAGACACATAATTTAAAAGCAGGAGGTAAAATGGTTATTTGCTTATGTTCAGTGTAGATATAGAAATAACCTAGAGAAATCTTGACACAAGAAAAGAGAATGTAGTAAGATGAATGGGCACGAAATTACTATACAGAAATCAATAATTTTTATATACACAAGAAGTAGGAATATAAACTGGAAAGATATTGTTTACAGTAATAGCAAGAACAAATGTACCTAATAGTAAACTTAATAAATATGCAAGGTTTATTTGATATAAAGATTAAAATGTTCCTGAGGGTCATGAAAAAGAATGAACATATGAAAAGACAATTCATACCATAAGTTTGTGATTTCTTCTTAAAGTAAGTAGTTTATGAATTCAGCTCAATCATATAAAAGCACTCACAGATTGTTTTTTTGATACATAGACAAGCTGAAGTTAACTTCATAGAGACTATCAGACAAGCATGAAAAGCCAGGACACTGTAGAAAAAGATCAGAATACTCTCCCTACTAATAGAAAATATGTAAAAAAAATTTAAGCACACATACAAATAAGTAAAGTGAGATAATGAGATAATTAAAATAGTATGGTATTGATACATGACAGACAACTCAATGGAATATAGTAGGATGAAAATAAAAACAAGTCCGGGAATCCAATATTTGATAAATAGTTGCTGAGGCTGGTCTCAAAACTGCAATCTTCTTGCCTTATATAAGAGAGGAAAAGATGGGTTATTCATTAAATTATTTAGGATAAGTAGGGAGATATCTAAAAATAATAAAGTTGGAACCCTAATTAAAATTTTATAGTAGTATAATTTCTTGATGTAAATATTTAAATGCTAAAATATAAAAAAGATCAAACAAAAAGACTCAATGAAACTGTAAGAAAATTCTATAAACTTTAAAGAAGCTCTTTCTTCTTCCATAAAATAAAAAGTTATAATCACTATATAAAAATAAAAATTGAATGCAACAAAACCCACCATAAACGCTGGGTGTGGTGGTGCATGCCTGTAATCCCAGCAGCTAGGGAGGAGGATGGGGAGTTCAAAGCCAGATTCAGCAACAGCAAGATGCTAAGCAACTCAGTGAGACCCTGCCTCTAAATAAAATACAAAATAGGGATGGGGATGTGGCTCAGTGGTTGAGTGCCCCTGAATTTAATTTGTGGCACCCCCCCMAAAAAAAAAACCCATAAAGAAATTTAAACACAAACAAGAAATTGGAAAAAAACATATTTGTAACAACATAAGAAATGTTCTTTCCTTTTAAATAGAGTTCCTACCTGTCATTAAGAAAATACTAACAAACCAACAAAAAACTGGACAAAGGACAGAACCAACAGTACAAGGAAAAGAAACATGAACGTCTCTTTAACATATGAAAAGAGGCTCAGTTACTTCATTGAAATTTCAACTTTTCTGAGTTTATTGGATTGGGAAAGGTTAATATTAGGAAGGCGGGGAACACATTGGTTACTCCACCTTGGCTGTTGGGAATGTGATCTGAACACCAGGATGGGGGACAACCGGGCAATCAATACGAAAGTTCCCAATTTACACATCCTTTGCTCAGGCATTTCCACTTCTAGGAATTTATTATCCTACAGATAAATTCGCGCATATGCCAAATGGATTAAGTTCTCAGTTAATCAATGTAGCACTGCTGGTGATAACAAGATGTGAAATAACAAACCTTGCATCCTTGGGGACTGGCTGCATAAATTAAGGTACTCTGGAATACAGGGCAGCAATAAAACAAAGGAGAAAGTTCCTTTCCCCCAGCCCTCAATACTGAGGATTGACTCCAGGGTACCTACCACCGAACTACATCCCCAGACACTGAACTACATCCCTAGACCTTTTTATTTATTTATTTTTCATTTTCAGACAAGGTCTCAGTTGCCGAGGCTGGCCTCAAACCAGCGGTCATCTTGCCTCAGCTTCCTGATTACAGGTGTGCACCAGCTTCACCTGACAGAGAAAGTTCTTTATATACTAATGTGGAATGATCTCCAAGATAAAATTTTAAAAAGTACAAAAAGAAAAAAGAAATGTGTGTGCAGCATGCTACCATGCTACTACTTGTGTAAGAAAAAGAAAGCACATGTAAATTTTCTCTTAATGCATAAACTCTGCCTGGAAGAATGGCCAAGAAACTGATAATAACATCTATCATCAAGACAGAGTCCGGCTGCCTCACCGACAAGGACGGGAGGAAGGACTTTCACCTTGTGCCTTTTGTACCCTTTGATTATAAACCATATGAATATATAATTTTGTGACACATGAACTTTTGATAGATGATGTAAAGGACAGAGTGATACTCTAACCTGGTCTGTGCTTATCCCAAACTTGGCTTCAAATAAAGCCTCTGTTAATATTATAGATGTTTGATTGGGAAACAAAAGAAGATAAGTAATTTTGTTTTTACTTGAAAACTAAAGTTCCAAAATAAAAATTATGTAAGAAAATAAAAAAGTGAAAAAAAGAATAAAGAAAAGCAGTCGCTTGACAATAGAAATAGTAAGATCACCATTTGTTTCAAGCAACCAACCAACAACTAAATTGTTGCTAAGGGAATATACTAAGTCTTTGGCAATACAGAAGTGATGAGAGGATAAATATAGCTTTTTATTAGATATTTCCATGTTGTTTGATTACTGTCCTTGATATATTAATTTATAATTTTAAAAAATCAGATTTAAACATAAAAAGTCTACCTTTCCATTGGTAACCAAATATATAGAAAAGTGTTTAACCTAGTAATTCAAAAGAAAGAAAAAGCTCTATACATAAAAATTCATTCAACACCATACATGAAATATATTCACCTATAATTTATATATTCATGTATACCTATAAACAAAAGAAAATAATTCATTAAATGATAAGGTATCCACAAAACATTCTAGTCTATTAAATTACATTTATGTAAATCAGATGGTAATTGGCATAATATCTATGGCATAATGCTAATTTTTAAAAAGTTATATTTTATGTACAACTTAGTAAAAACAGTCAATGAGCAAGAAAGGGATGGAATTCTAGTTAACACTTTCAATGTTCTAATTTCAAAATTTTAATTTTTTCAAAAATTTCAACTTCAAGTTTCTCTATTTTTGTGTTTGAGAAGCAAATTTAGAATTTAATTTGAGAAACAAACCAGAGTGACGATGCCTGTTTGCTAACCCAGGCAAGGATAACTAACTGACCATCAGGAACTGTGGACTTCTATACGGAAAGAGCCACTTACTTGCATCTCCTCCTGGAGAAGGAAGACGGGCCACCTGTTCCAGGGAGGTGCTTCTGAAAGGCTGTGCCAGCTTCTCCAGGGATAGGACATTGTCCCTGCGCAGCACCTTCCCATCAGGGCTGCTAAAGAGGTCCCTGATGTCCTTCCTCTGTTTAGATTCTTGAAGGAAACTTTCAAAAGATTTGTCTTTGAATTTGAGGGAGGAAAAAAGTGAGGCTCCTTTCTTTGGAACCCTAGCAGCATCTGGTAAGGTCTCTTGCAAACTCACTTTCTCTAGGAGTATGGGGACATCTTCCATCTTGCTGCAGGGTGGGGACGCTAGTGCAGGAAATCTCTTTGATGGCCGATTGGGCAAACTATGGGTGCGGAGGGCAGGGTCAGAAGGGTTAAGCCTCGAGAACTGAGCAGCCTGGGAACCCAGGGACAAGAAAGCAGAGGCCCTGCTTGCCACATGTGTCCCACTGGACTGCTGGTCCCCCTCCTTGTGGGAACTGGTTTTCCGAAGGCTGAATGAGCGAGTACAGGTGTGTGGCTGATCTGTGGGCAAAGTTTTGGATTCTGACTTGGCCCAGGCCTTCTTTCCACCTTCGGAGTTGGGAAAGAAGTTTCCCAGGGACTTTCGGAGGGCATTGGCTATGAGCCGCAGGGGCGACTTAGGTGGGGCACCTTGCTCTGCTGGAGTCCGTACAGCTGGGGCCTGTGTCTCCTCCTGGGCCTCTCTCTGGGCTGGCAGCGTCTGTTTCCATGCCCGAGGGAGGGTCAAGGGGTGGACTGGCTTCAGCACTCGGCCTGGTCTATCACCCCCAGGACTGTCCTGGGAACGTGGTTCCTCAGCCCTGAGGTGCACACTCTCAGGGATGGAGTCATTCCAATCCAGCAGCATGGTCTTCTGTTCCTGAGTGAGGACTAACTTCTTCAAGCCCAACTTCCTCTCCTCTGCCAGCTCTGACCTGCCCTCCTGCTGCCTCCTGGGTCTGATACTCTCCTCTCTTGGTTCTCTTCCATCCACGAGAGATTGCTCTTGATGTGTGAGGCACCTGTCTTTCTGCCCAATGGGGTATGGGTCTTTGTGGAGGCTCTTGGTACCTCCAAGAGGGGCCTCTGCTTCCTCACAGTCCTCAGAAGCCATCTCCACAGGGCTTGTGACACTGTCTCCTCCGGGGCTCACCAGGCAGTATTCTGCCCGCTCCAGCACGGTACCATGAGGCAGATAGAGGGGAGTTTCCATGGGTGTTCCTTGGGCTCTGGCTCGTCTCAGAAAGATTGGGGTAGATGGACTGGAGGGACCTCTGGAGGCCTGTGAATGGGGACTGTAAGCTGCCACCTAGAGGGGATGGGCAGAAACGGCAGTTAGCTAATAATTTACAGCATTCATTTATATGGAGGAGGCAAATCCCAACCCACACTCTACTTCCTTCTTCTCTCCAGATCTCAGATACCAAAGTCAAAAGTGGTTTTGCCTCAGAGGATTTCATGGGGCTGCTCTTTGTTCTAAGAGGGTGCTTGGAACCTGTTGAGATCTACCTGGAGCCCCTAGATCCACACCGATTAAAGGTCATTCTGGGTCCTGGATTGGGTGGGTAGGAAGCCAGAAGGGAAGACCAATGTGTGGCTGCTGCCCTTGATGAGCTTCTGGGCCAGTGAGCACAGGGATGGCTGGCCCCCAAGGATGGCCAGGCTCATGGCAGAAGGCAAGATCCCCAATGGCTTGCCCAAGCATGGTCCTACCGAATGGCCTCCTTTACCCAGGTATGTTCCTCTAACAATCACAAGACCAAGATTTCTTTGTTGGAGGCTTTTGAGGTGAGAAAGTGACAGTTACCTTTCTGCTGTGGTGGCAAAAGTGTGACCTTTAGGACCTTTCAGTGACCTTCTAAATTTCACACCTTGTACCACTGAGAAAAGTAGCCACTTCCAGCATGGGGGAACTTGGCCCTTGGCAAAGGGAGAATCTAAGTAGACTCTGCAACGAGTGGCTGTGCCCTGCAGGTCAGAGAACTGGGGCCTTCACAAGAGCATTCATTATTTCTGTCTTGTGCACTTTTGACTTCCTAGAACCTACAACAGGGCTGGCAGGCACAGAGGCTTGACAACTGCCTATGGAAAGAAAGAGTCCAGCCATGCTTGTCAAAAATGACATTTCCTATACAAGAAAGATGTTGCTTCCAAGGTCCTTGGATGCTAGCAAAGGTTCCCTCTGTGTCTGTTCCTTCAGTTGTGAGCTCCTTAATACCCACTGTGAGTTCCCCAAGGGCAGAGCACCTGTCCCAGCATCTCTGCGTCCCATGGTACAATACTTGGTACAAAGTACAAAGTCTGTGTTCTGGGAGTGGATGAGCTTTCATGAAAGGCACTTGTGAAGAAGGCCTGGAGTGGACCCTTGACAAGTTTCTCTCTGGCCCTGGCCTTGCACTAGGGGGCACTTAAGAGCACACAGCATCCAGAGTCAAGTGTGGAAGGTGGGAGGAGCTCACCTTCCTAGGCCTGTGCAGGGCCCTCGGCTGTACTCACCTGAGATGGAGAGGAGTCATCTTGGGTATGCCCAGGGACACTGGCTGAAGAAGAAGAAGATGGTGGGGAAGATGAAGGAGAAGACCAGGAAGAAAGAGGAAGAGGAGAAGGCTCTTTTGGAGATGATGGGGTTCTTTTGTTCACTGGCGGCAAATCTACCGAGGAAAGAACATTTTCTGTTACAGAGCTGTTGTGAAAGAGCTTGCAAAAAGACGAGGCTTGCAGTGAGGCTCCTGTTCTACAGGCAGAGCCAAGAAGAGGAAGGGTTGGAGACTGACTCAGAGGTTCCTGGTGGCCACATCTTGGGAATTGGAGGAATGGGACCCAGAAAGGCAGAGGAGCCCTGGGGGCAAAGGGAACCCCAAGATGAAAAGTCAAAGGACCACTGTGTTTCAAACTCCTGAGATTGTTCCCGAGGTAGGTGACCTAGACTTTTCAGAGCTTATTGGAAATAGACATCTACCCTTAAGTTTCCCTAAAGCTCTGATGGTTAAGAGCTGGGGCTACATTAAGTCATTCATCAATAAACCATCTGAGGTTTCTGCCCACGAGGTGCTGAAGCATTAGCCGTGGCACACACAGGGTAGACATTCACGACTAATGAAATGGCTCTTCCTCTCACGAGCACCCAAGGGGCTCTCAGACAGGTGGCCAGGCTGCGCCATCAAGGGAACACAAGGGAGGGAGGTTACAGCCATATCAAATCATCTGAAGCACACAGAGTGAGATCTCTGCCAAGCTTCTGTTGGTCAGGCAACAAACTGGAAAGCAGTGTATCTGCTCAGAGATGCGTGAGAAAGGAGCATGGCTGGGCCCAGGGAGGAGCTTAATTCCCACTGTGGACAGCTGACATCATCTGGTCTCAGGAGAGCAGATTGTGACAGTTGTGGCCTAGAAGTTTTTCCACGCTCACATGTGCTTCTCTCCCCCGCTACCCCCCTTGAGGATAGTAGTCTTAAATCTGAAATCTCAAGTATTTTATCTCCGTATTGAACTATTTCAGACAAGCTGCACTCAAATCGTTTCTGAATGCCACACAGTCTGCCGATGTGCCCCTCAGTCCTGGGCTCTTACACACCCAGCTCTCCCATGAACCGAGGGAGCACATCTGGGTGTCCCCCAGACACCCCCCAGGACGGCTGCCTACTGGTCACTCCCATGTCTCGCTGCCTGCTTATGGCTGCTCAGAGGACCCATTGAGATTTCCCTCTGAGGTGTCCAGGCTTTGGATTTTAGCTCCCTTCTTAGCTCAACACAAGGCCCAGTTTCCTCAAAGCTCTGGATGAGAAGCTCCTCCTCAGGTGCCCACACATACCTAACCATCCCCAAGAGTTCCAGCCAGTCCCATTCTTACAGCGGAAGTGGCCACGGGGCTGGACGTCCAGTGTTCCGCCCTTCTTTCCTCACACACCAACGCAAGCATGTCAGATGGCATATCCCAGATCTGGGTTCTGAAAAGATGGCTACCCCACACACATGGTTGACAAGCCCCCAAAGGGGAGGCTTCCAAAAAGCTTCCAAGGGAACAGGTAACCCCAGGGGAGAGAGCCGATGTGAGGGTGGATAAGAAGGAGCTGTTGGGAGACAGGCCATGGGCTGCCAGGAGCTGGCGCAGGGGAGGTGGCTGGCCTGCCTCCCTTCACCGGCACCCCCACCTCAGCCCACAACGAGATGGTTCGAGCCTAAAAAGGCAAAAGTCGTGAGTCAGTGATTGCCTTGCTTCCTGTCCTCAGCTTGCCAAATTCCTGCCAAATTCCTTCTCCCCCTCTCCCTCGCCCCCTCATTCTCCTCTCCCTGCCATCTTCTGAATCCAACTCCTTAATTTGTTTCAAAAGTTGTCTTGGCTCCACACACTGCCCTTTTGTTCCTCCATGGAGTCTCAGGGGACCTTATGACACATAGTCAGGGACACCTGGGGACACGAGTCCATTGGAAAAGCCTTGGGGTTCACAAGGTCGTGACCTGGAAGCTGCTCCCCCCTCCTTTCTCTAATTCCCAGCCCACCTGGCCAGGGGGGTCTCTCTCCATTCATGGTCCTCACTCCCTGTCTTAGAGACAGAGCTTGGGGAGGGCTTGAGGAGTTGGGGAGCAGGGCTCCCATGTAGGCCAACCCTGGTCCCTGGGCTGCCATTCAAGCCACAGCCTGGGAGGGACACGGTCTGGGAAGGGGCGAGTGGAGCCAGAGCCAAGCTGAGTGATGATGGGAAATGTCACCTGCTGGAGGCTGGTTGTGCCTTGGAGTTCACTCAGAACATGGTCAAGAGGAGCCTGGGACCTCACCCCTTCACACTCACAGCAGCTGCTGGACACTGAGCAGGTTACCAGACCCTCAGCTTCCTCAGGTCTATCACTGCTTCAGGGGATGGTTGAGGGAATAAATGGGACACAAAAAAGTGCCCAGCGGTACAGGACACAAATGCTTCATGTTAGCTACAGATGAGTTCCATCCCCGTCCCCTCCTCTCATGCCTCAGATGGTGTCTAGTAAAGACATGGCTGAAGCCCTGGCCCGTTCCAGAGGGAGCCATGCACCCATCCCAGCCACGATTTCTCCACTCTTCACGTTTCCTCATTTGCCAATTCAGACCCTCCTCTCTGGTTCTTTCCTGGAATCTTGGCTTCTTTGTCCTCTGCAAGATTCTTGGTCCTGGGTGCTACTGCCCCTTAGGGTTCCTTTGTGCAAAAGGAGTCGTTGAGCAAGCCAGAGCCTGAATCACAGCTTCTGACACCCTGGATCCAAAGCCACGTTACCTCCTCTTGGGCCCTCTGACCAGAGTGACCTTTTGTTCTGAATCCTAGAGGACATTCTGGCATGCTGCTCATCTGGGGAGACCGTCCTATGTTCTTTTCCTACTACCCAAAAGATGGCTCTAGTGGCTTTCAGCTTGGGATTTTTTTGTGTGTGTGAGGACTGAGATTTCAGGGTGCAGCTTCCCAGAATTTGGAGGCTATGAATGCCTCAAATCCCTCTCAAAGTCTGGGAGCGCCCTCTAGGGGCTTCAGCCGGAAAACCCGAAGCCCTGTGCTTTGCACTGAGTCTCACCAGCTCCAGGGTTCATTCATTCATTCAGCAGGGCTGAGGGCATGGCTCAGTGGTGGGGTGCTTGTCTAGCATGTGCAAGGCCCTGGATTCTATCCCCAGAGTCTTCCCCATGCAAAAAAAAAAAATCCATTCACTGAGAAAACAAGGAACAGGTACCTCCTCTGGGTCAGACCATATAATATATATTTTTCCACCTCCTCATAATTCCAACTCAAGTGCTTCTCTCAAACCAGCTTTTCTGTACACGAAAATCAGCACTTGATACTCTTCGGTTACTGAAGACTGAGTCTCCAGGTCCATGCCAGGCACCTCGCTGCTGTGTATCAGTCCTTTCTCTGTCCTGTGCCTCCTCCAGCACCTTGACACTGTTGTGAGTGCCTCCACCAGTCCCCTGGCTCTCACCCAGGCTGGGAACTCCCTAAGGGCACAACTGAGCCCCTCTTAGTGGTGGCATTCAGAAGCATTGGAATGGACTCTACACCAAGAGAAGGATCCCAGTGCCCTCCGAGGGGCTGGGGCCAGGAATGAGAGGAGGACATGTGGAAGGCTTTAATTCCCTCCACCCTCTTGCTCTCACTGCCTTGGGCACCGTCAGTAATTCAAGCATCATTTTAGATTGTCCCCAGATGAAGCAGCTTGCACAAATGTGCAGTCCTGGTCTAGCTCCAAAGGTGGCCCCTGTCCCAGCCTGACCCAATGAGGGCTGGTGGGTCTTGGGGTTGCTGGAGAGTGACTCACTGGCTAGGAGTCAGTATTGACTCAGAAGGAAGGAGCTAGGGCTCCCTTCCAAGTACGATGCTTCATTATGTAAACCCTGCCAGACCCAAGGCCTTCCTGCACCTCCTCTCCTAGGCGAGCCTGGAGAGGGAATGTGGTACAGGGGGAGAGGAAGGCAGCAATGGAATGGATGAGTCCCAGCCTCTTGCTGAGGGCCTCTGAAGGGAGTTCCTGCTTTGTCCTGCTGTGGCTGGGATTGTGGGCCAGCTTGGGATGCAACTGTGTGTGTGGCCACTGCGCCCCCTGGTGGGGTCCCTCGCCTTCATCCATCTCTGCTCTTCTCTGGGACCAAGATGCACAGAAAAAGGAGTAGGACTGTGTGTGTGTGTGTGTGTGTGTGTGTGTGTGTGTGTGTGTGTGTGTCTGTGTTGCTTCCTTTCTTGCTTTGCCCACAATTGCCTGGAGTCAAAAAACTGACAACTCCCATGCACAGAATCAAATCATATAACATCCGTGGGCCTCGGTTTCCTTATTCATGTTCCAAAAAGCTTGGAGTCTATCACTGCTAAGGCTGCTTCTGGGTAAAATTCTGGAATCTCAAGTCTCCATGATTCTAGAGTAGGGGCCAGTCCCGAATCCCTGGGAGAATTCTTCCTTTAGTCCACAGTGGAAATCAGGTCAACTGCATGTTGTTTTTTTGCCCCTCACATCCTGGAGGCCACGGCACAGAAGACAGGCACCATGTAAGGAATGAGAGAGCTGCTGCCTGGGAATCAACTCCTGCCCAGCCCAGTCCAGCCCAGTCAACCCACAGAGAGCTTTCGATATGACTCACTGGACTGGAATCTTTTTCTCCAGTTCTGGTGTTTGCTTGGAGTTGGAGCCTGGAAGCTATTGGCCCGTTGCAAAGCTGTGGTGAGAAAGAAAAAGAGAGCAAGAGTCCATTAGATGTGTAGAGGGGATATGCCTCTAGCCCATTGACCCCAAATTAGCAGACAGGTGGCTCTAACTGACGGAAACTTCCCGGCCCCCACACCCCATTTGTCATTCATCCACTCATTAAATATTCATTGAGAACCAGCTTCAGGGCAGGCACTGCCCCCTGTCAGAGCAGGCCTCCAAGGATGAGCCATCATTCTGTGTCACTGATGGTTAATAGGCCCTCCTTCATGCATGTGTAGAAACACATACACAAAAACATGCCTCCCCGTGTGTGGATGAGCACACCTACATTCATTCATTTCTATCAGAGCCGGCCTTTACAGCTGAGGCCTCGTGTCAATGTTCCGTAGATGTAAGAGGACACTGGAGCTCCTCTGGAACCAGGAAGCTGCAGAAAGTTCTAGCCCCTGCCTTCCCTTTCCTCCCAGAGCCCCCCCAAATCCAGGAAACCAGTTTTAACAGAACCTCTGGGCAAGCCATGGCTGTGACCCCTTGATCCCCTTCTTGTGGCATGGTTCCCATGGAAACACGTCTGCAGTACACGGTATCCTTCCTACTGGAGACCCACTGCCTAGCTGGGCCTTGAGAACCAGCTGAGAAAAATGAACACTGAATTTGGAAGGAAAGGGGTCTTGGCCATTTGGGGCATGAAAGTGGGCAGAGGGGATCTAAGTGGACCCAGTTCCCACAGAGGACCCCCCAGATTCCGTCTCAGGTATTTCCATCACAGCCAAAGAGAAAGAATGGGCTCCATGCCCATCCAGAGACTCACAAACCTGGTCCGTGGGCATGAGAGGAAAGGAAGGGGGTGGAAAGGATTTGGGGATGGGAAGATGGCGGCAGGGAAAGTTTGAATATAGACCTTCCCGAATCCAAGGCCCAGCCAGTGTGTGGGCATGTGTGTGCTTTGCCCACAATTGCCTGGAGTCAAAAAACTGACAACTCCCATGCACAGAATCAAATCATATGACATCTGTGGGCCTCAGTTTCCTTATTCATGTTCCAATAAGCTTGGAGTCCATCACTGCTCAGGTGATGATGGACAGCCATCATCTCTCCAGTCTTAGACATTCTATTCCCTGCCAGTTAAAGGTTGTCCCTCAGCGCTTTCTTACTAGCCAGGCTGTGGAACACAGGTGTGAGCCATTACCTTGGGGCTTCCTTTCTTCAGGTCAAGTTCCTTGGGCTCCTTAGACCCTTGGCTCCTCTCCCTCCCTTTCCCCATTTGGAAATGCTTTGTGTCTCCTCTCTCTAGTAGGATTCCAATCCCACAGGCTTGCCCTCAAAATCAAGTCCATGGATCTGAGGTGGAGCCAGTGTGGATGGATGGTGAATAACCCCCACACCCCATTACCAGATGGTACTCAAAGTGCAGCCACTTTAGTTTGCCAGATTGGATGTTTTACATGAGGAGCATGCAAGTTCAGCACAGTTGCATCCTGCAGACCCCTAACCAAGAGACCACCCAAGAAAAATATAAGATTTCTTAGGTTAGCCCTTCATTGTTATGACCAAAATTCCTGTCAAGAACAGCTTAGAGGAGAGATTTATTTTGGCTCATGATTTCAAATGTTTCAGTCCATAATCAACTGGCTGCAAAGCAGCAACATAATGGCGGAAGGGCACGGTGAAGAAAGCTGCTCAGTTCATGGCAACCAGGAAAGAGAGAAAGAGGTCAAGGGCACACCCGCTGTGACTTACTTCCTCCGAACATACCCTATCTGCTTACAGTTCCTATCTAGCAGTCCATTCGGATTATTAAGTCTTCAAGTGGATTAATCCACCAATGAGGTTAAAACCATCACGATCCCATCATTACCTAAAGCCCCACTTGTGGACCTTGCTGCAATTCCTTCAACACATGAGCTGTCGGGGGACATTCCCAGCCACGACTTAAAGCTCTGACTGCTTCTCTTCCACTGTTAACATTGTGGAATGGAACCTATTGGAGATGACTAAAATTAGGGGATGTCGCTCAGTGGTAGAGCAATTGTCTAGCAATTGTCTTGAGTTCAATCCCTAGCACTGAATACTAAAAAGGAAAAAAAAAGGAAAGGGATTAAGACTAATGAGAGATTTCCCAACACGACTATTTATGAGACACACATGCACATATTTTTTTACCACAATGGAAACAATGAGTGTGGATGGCAATGATTAGTTCTAGTAGCTCTAAGCAGCATAAAGAACGGCTGGTCCTCTTCTTTTTAGCTTATGTTTTATGTGTGTTTAATGTTTGCCTATAGTCCTTATTTTAAAGGAGCACTTTAATTTGGGGGATTTCAGTGTCTGATCTGCAAAAGGAGTAAGAGGGTGAGAATTTTGCCATATGGTGCTGATGATCTCATTTTATTGTTAAAAACTGGTGGTGTCCTCCATATGCCATTGGACCATCCTGTTATCAGATTATTGCCAGGGGAAAAAAATGGATAAATACCAATTCTCCTATGCCAAAATAATTTGGGGGCAGACTGCCCTCCTAAATCAACTTGGTTTCTGTCCAAAAATCCAATGCACTAGATCCATCCGTTGAGTTGCTTGGGCATGCATTTCCCAATTAATTTATCCAGGTGGGCCCCCCTGGAAGCTGCTTTTCTGTGATTCCCAAAGTATGGATCAGGCCCACCTGCATCCATGGACCTGGGTTGCTTACACCAAATGCAGATACTGTCCCATTTTAGACCCATGGAATTTGATTTTCTGATGGTGAGGATCCAGGGATATGCCTTCTAGACAAAATTTATATGAATCACCGGGCTAGATTATTATAGTTTGGATTTTAAATGCCCCCCCCCAAGTCCAATATGTTTAAGCCTTGGTCCCCAGGCTGTGGGAGGTGGTGGAATGTTTAGGAGGTGGTGCCTAATGGAAGGAGGTCAGGTTACTGGGGAGTGTGCCCTCGAAGGAGATATTGGGACTGTGGCTTCTTCCTCTTTTTCATTTTGCTTCCCAGTTGCCACGAGGTGAGCATTTTCCTCTGCCATGTGTTCTCGCCATGATGTTCTGCCTTACCACAGGACCAAAAGCAACAGGGCCAAGCAACAAGTCACCTCAGAAACCATGAGCCAAAATCAATCTTTTCTCTTTATAAGTTGTTTATCTCAGGTATTTCGTCACAGCAATGGAAATCAGATTAATCCCACAGATGTTTTAGGGTAATGTTTTCTATGGTTTTCATAACACAGGGTATATGTAAGTTGTCTTTCTCGCCATCTCCTTAGGCAGGCTCTGTAAAAGAACTTGGTGGGTATGAGCGCTTCCTTGACTAGCTGAGGTGATCCTGGAAATCTCTTGTTAAATGGTGGCAAAATGTACATAACATAAAAAATACCATTTCTTAAACGTTTACTAGTGTGTTGTACAACTCAGGAACAACCAAATGGAAGTGATACTTCAACAAAGGGATGGGGAAGGGGTATGAGGCTTACATGCCCCCTCAAGCCCACCACTCTCCCAGGACCTCTATTTGTTCATCAATCCCAAAGCTCTTCCTAGCTGTTTTGCTGTTTAGTTAAAAAAAAAATTGATAGCATATAATTCAGTGGCATTAAGTACATCTACATTCCGAACAACCATCACCACTATCCATTTCCAAAACTTTTCTCTCACCCCAAACAAACCCTTTTTTATGACTGGCTTACTGCACTTAGTGTATGTCCTCAGGGTTTATCCATATTGTACTATATATCAGATTTTTGTTCCCTTTTCAGGTTGAATAACATTGCTTTGAATGGATGTGCTGTGTTTTGTTTATCCATTCATCTGGAGATGGCTCTTGGTTTGTTTCTCCCCTTTGGCTTTGAGCATGAGTGCACCAACCAGGAATCTTTCAAAAGCAAAATCCTGGTCTTGTCTGGTCTTCTCTGAATCCGCCTTAAAGGCATTTATCCAGGGGAGAATCCAGGTGAGTTCAATAACATCCACTCATGATGTCAACCCTACATTATCTGGGAAAGTGTTGAGCTTCTTATATCAGCCTTGAGAGTAACATTAGAGATGCTAACCTTAACCATTGTGTCCGGCCTATCAGTGATCGAAACCATAATTGATGAAAACGAAGTCAACAAAGGATTGTCTAACATTCCTCTATCCACCCCTCTATGTTCTTGGTATTTTATTCTAGAGTTAAGTTAGTCTGTCAGAAACAAAATGCTTTGGCCAACTACCTTAGTCTCTTAAACAAAAGTCCATGACTCCCTGTCTTACCCTAACCTGCCAGCAGGGGGCACTATGAGAAACAACCTTAAGAAAACTGTGGCTAAATTTTCTGAGGACTCATTAAGATATGAGCTAAAACAGTTCTTGATATCATCTATTTGACATGAGCAGAAACTTTCTATAGAGTTCAGCATTAAGAAAAGTTGTATCTACTCTTGATAACTATGTAAACCAGTATATATTTTTCTCTTGGACAAGGAGAACAATTGTGTGTGTTCCCTTTTTAATACTGTCTGTTTAGAACTATGTTCTCTCTCTCTGGAACATTCTACTTCCTAAATTGGCTTTGTTATGGAAGGGGAAGTTCAAAGTTAAAAATATCTGCATCTATTCTCTTTGGCTCCAATCCTTCTTCCTGGGAAACCAGGGCTTCTGAGGACCAGGTGGAAATTCTACTCTTGGCCACCAGAGGGCGGTGCAGGACAAGTTTGGTGTCCAGCAGAAAAGGCTATTTATTGGTTCTAAAGGAAGGAGGAAAGTTTGTTGGCCTGTTTCTTCCCTGGCTCTCCTTCCCGCAAGTCAGATGACTTGGTCACAGGTTGATGTTGACTGAATCAAAACATTCAATTCTGGGTCACCTTTATGAATTAAAACAAACTGGGTTGCTAAAGACAACTTGCTCTAAGTAGGCCAGAATTCGGAGGGTGGGCCCCCATCACCTGTTCTCAATCCTCTGGAGGGGAGACCGGGGGAGAGTTCATGGTCTTTTTCTCACCTGAAAACTGGGATTTATATTATTTACCTACATACAGGGTCCACCTAGGATAAAATGGGGCCATGGGTAGGAAAATCCCAGGTGCTCACTGAAGATTCACTTATTATTGTGTAGGCACAGTTTGGGTGCATTTCATGAGCCCCATGCCCCCAGGAATGGCCCCTGTGCTGCCCAGGGCTGCATAGTGTCCCACAGCAGCCGGTCCCACGTCCTTTCCTTTAGGGGTTAAAGGTTGTTGGAGGAACCTCTGAGGCAATATCCACACAGGTCACAGCGGAGAAGCTGTTCCAGGTAAGAGGGAACTGGGTCCCCCTTATCTCTGCCAGCTGGTGACATCCAACAGGGGACCAGGCCCCTCTGATGTTTTCCCACTTGGGACTTCAGAGCTGGAGAAGCATGCTAGCCCTGGTGCAGAGCCCCCAGCCTCACTTGAACCTCCCTCCTCAAAGCTCCCACCCTGAGAGTGCTACTGTCACCCGGCCTCCAGGAGGAAAGGCAGGCCATGAGGGTCCCTGCTCCCTCCCAGGGTTCCAGAATGAAGCACGGTGCACCCTTTGCTCACCGTGTGCAGCTTGCAGCTCCTCCAGGCACTGCAGAGAGTTTGCCCTGGTCAGAGGCTCCCTCAAGGAGATGTGCCGGGTGAGGGGCTTGGGTAGAGGTGGGGATTCTGGCTGCCAGGCTCTCGCTTCACAGGGCTTTGCACTGGAGGCCTCGCTGCTGCCATAGTCAGATTCTGCATCGGAGCTGGAAGGAGGAAGGAGGGAGTGGGTGAGCTGGAAGCCCTGGAACCCACCCGCTGCACGCACCCACACGGCGCCCTTCCCATCCTTGCCTCCTGCAGACCTTGGAATCCGTCAGGGGTTCAGTTCATCTGTGCCCAGTCCCCAGCCTGGGACTGCACCATAGTCTGAGGTCTGAAACCCCCAATTCCTCTGTTGAATTCTTAACCTCCAGAACCTCAGAAGGTGACTGCATTTAGAGACAGGGTCATCAAAGAGGTAAACTAAATTAAGATGGGGTTATTAGGTAGACCCCCCATCCTATATGACTGGTGGCCTCCTAAGAACAGGGAATTTGGGCATAGAACGTGTGTGCAGTAGGAAAACGCCACCGTGTGATCAGGAGACGGCCATCTACAAGCCCAGGAGAGAGGCCTGGAGCAGATGCGTCCCCCCAGCCCTAGTTGGAGCCAACCCTGCCAACCCTTGATCTCAGACCTCCATCCCCCAGAACTGTGAGAAAGGAAGTTCCTGTTGCTTAAGTCACCTGGGCTGTGGTACTTTGTGACACAAAGTTGACTGACATAAGCTTGGATCAGAGCAAGAGAAAGCTCCCAAGCAAATGTCTGACCAACAACTCACGTAAAGTAGGGGGTGTCTCACCGTCTCCCAGCCCTGAGCACAGCTCCTGAGCTCGTCTACGGGAACTTGATCCTAAAACTCCAGGCCCTGAAATGCTGCTTTCCTTCCCCCAGAATGGGGGGTGGTGGTGGGGAGTAGAAAAGCCTCTCTGGCATTTGGGGACGTGGTGTTTAACGTGGCAGGAATGTAAGTGGCAGAGAAGTGGAGGCAGAGTGTTGTGGGCACAGGAGACAGCCCAGGCCCACGCCTGGGGTGGGGAGGGCATGAGGCATTTTAGTGAAGCTGAATATCCTTCCTATCTCTCTATCTATGGATCTCTATGAATCTGTCTATCGTCCATCCATCCAGCATGGTTCTTCCACTAGGTCACTGCCCCTTCCTTGTCTACCTGTAATGCCTAGTGGACCCTTCCTAATGCCCAGGCCTGCCCAGGCCTGGCACCCCATCCTGTGCACTGGTCAGTCCCAGAGGTGGGTATATGACCTGGGTAACACCAAGTGGGGGCTTCCCTGGCTCCCGTTCTGTGACATTATTATGGATATGGGCTGAAGCCCTCTGTAGTGAGGGCTGCACAGGTGGGCACAGCCTCTCTGTGGATCGCTGCAGGGCTGACCTGTGCAGAGGCAGCAAGGGATAACTGCTGTGAGTCTCTGGCTTCAACATCACCTCCTCAAGGTGGCCTGAAATGAGGACCACCCTTGGACTTCCTGGCCCACACCAGCCAAGACGTCTGCCTTTGTTATACCAAAGCTGCCTTGAAGGCTGTGTGACCTTGGGTAGGTGCCTTCCCTCCTCTGGGCCCTGATTTTCTCTCTTAGTGATTACTAAGGGCACTCTCAGGGAGTGGTTCTCATGCAGATGTGCACATCAGAATCACCCGTGAAGCATGGTTCCCAGGCCCCTTTCCAGAGTCTAAATGATCAAGACTTAATAAGTTAGATGTCCGGGACCATTGCCTCCATTTTTTCCTTCCTGTTGTCCCCACACGTTCTTCAATTAGGCCTCTGCCCACGGACTCCATGGAGACCACGCCGTGGACGTTCATGAGGACTCTCCTGTTGGAAGGCCCCGAACTCCCTTCTCTGTTTATGCTGTGGACTGGACTCCACAGCTTCCCAAGGTAGCAAACCACGTCGTCCTTCGGGGCCCATGCTCTGCCACTGAGCCACCCTTGTCCTCAGATCCCTTTTTGCAACACTCTCTCCTCTTGCACTCCTTAACTCCCCCATCTGGGTTTTCCTCCTCTCCAGTGGGCTTTGCTCACTCTTTCCCTGCTTGCTTTCTGAATGTGCAAATGCCCTGGGGCTCTATTCCAGGCCCAGCTCCTCTTTATCAACAGGAGGATAATCTTACTCCCTTCAGGACCCCTCAAGTCCTTTGGTTTAGTGGGTTCTGAACTCACCCTCTTCAGCCCTGTTTCCCTGAAAGTTCCGATGTTAGACTTGCATGTTTGACTGCTAACTTGATATCTGCACAAAGATGTGGGCAACTCAAACCCTAGGGGGTCCAGGATTGAACTCTTGGTTTTCCCCATGACCTATATCCCCTGAAATCCCTCTCCCCTCAGGAAATGATCATACTATCCATTCAGTGATGGAGTCAAAACCTGGGAGTTGCCCTTGAACTCTTCTTCCCTTAGGTTCAGCCAATCAGCAAACCCATCCTCGCTGTTCCACAGTCCCTAGCCACAGGCTCCTCCCTGATCTCCCTGCCTGATCTCCCCGCCCTTGCTCTGCTCCACCTGACCCATCCTCTCCCTGCACCAGGGCCTGCCGATTTTCAAGAATGGTGACTGAGATGTCACTCTTCAACTTGAACATTCTCTTTCAATGATCTCTGGCTTAGAATGCAAGCCCTTCCCAGGCTCCCTGGGCCCCACTCCTGCCTTCCTTCCGAGACCTCTCCTCCATCAGGCTCACTCCCACCCAGGGCCCTGCACTAGCTGTTGTCATGGCTGGACTGCCCTTCTTCCTTGACCGTTCCTTCCTGGTAACCCCTTCTCAGCTTCAATGTCACCTCCTCAGGCGGGCCATGGTAGGTGCTCTGCAAAAATGGCTGCCATCCTTCTCTTTGGAGCCACACTCCTCTGCAATAGGACTTCGCAGCTCTTCTCATAAAGGGTGGAACCTACTTCCTGGCTCCTGGAATCTGGGCTGACCATGTGACTTGCGGTAGCCAATCAGATGCCATGGGAACAGTACTTGGCAGGGCCAAACCTGGGTCTCCAGAAACCTGGTGCTGCTCTCCTCTTGAGCTAGCCTCACTTGCTGGATGGAGGATGAAGACGCAGGGCACAGTAACTCTCTGTCACCACAGCTGACAGCCAACTCTACTGCAGAAGAACTCTGCTGGGCCAGACCACTAAGGCCAGGGCTGCCCCCGGGGCCTGCTGAGCTGCTGGCCCCTGCAGTTGAGGATGTAATAAATGGGGTTAAATCACTTACTCAGGGCAGGCTTGTTACCAAGCATGATTTTGGCTGTCAGTAAGGACACAGAGGCCTTATCTGGCCGCCCAATCTAAGAGCTGACTCGTGGCTGTCTACCATGTGCCCCTACTTTGCTTCTCTACCTGGTGCACGTTTTATTTTTCCCATTAAATGCTTCCTTGTTTGCTGGCTGGCTGCCCAACCTGAAGAAAGGAGGTGAGAGCAAGGACTTTGCGTTGAATTGGTCACGGCCCTGTGCTTGGTCTAGTAGATGACAGGTACTTCTTGTGGCTTGAGCTCCTGAAGGATGTGGGTGTGTCTGGGGGTGTGTCTGGGGGGCGAGGCCTGGAGTCTGCACTTCTCATCACCACTCTGGGTGGGGATCTGATGCAGGAGGTGAGATGACACCCTCAGAAACAGTCATGGAGTCACCAGGCTTCATTTCCCCTGCTGGCTTCCCCATCAGCATGCACTGTGCTCTCAGGGTGGGAGGGCCCCAGGAGCCCCTCCCTGTGACAGGTAATGCCCATCTGTAGCCCTTGCTGCAGACCATGTGACAGTCACCTCCCGGGAGACATCAGTGATGCCAGGGCCTTTCCCTTTCCTGAGAAAATAACTGCTGACATTTTCAGGGTTTATTACACCCTGAGCCTTGTTCCACACACTTCCACATGCTAATGTTTTGATCCTGACAGCTCCTTCTGAGACAGGGGCTATGATTGTCCCCATTTGACTGATGAGGAAACTGACACCCAGAGACGTCCTTCTGCAAATGAGTGGAGAGGCCAGATCCCAAATGTTGCTCCTCCTCCAACCCTGGTGTGGTCCCCATCCTGCAGCCGCCTGGGCATACCTGCTGTCCTCGTTGGTGACCAGGACACGAACAGCCAACACGTCCTGCCCAACCCCGTCCTCCCCAGGGCTGATCCTCACAGAGGTCCACTCGGAGGGCAGGGGAGAGATGGCTCCACCTTCTGTATCACCGGGCTCTGGCTCAGGGACACTCTTCGGCTTCTTGGGGGAGATGGGCTCATCTGCTGAGAGAACAGGCTCTAGAGAGATGGTGGCATGGTGACTCTAGAAGGGCACCCGGTCCTCAGGGGTCTGGGCGGGATTCTGGAAGGGTGCAGGCCTCAGGCTACACAGGGGCTCTGAGGCCCACCTCTGAGAGCGGCTCTGCCTTTGCTGGAGCCCATCCCTCTGCCCAGCAGATGCACAGCATTTCGGGCACACCTCCTGTGTGCAGGGCATGGGCACATTCCTCATCCCATTTAATGGTAGGGAGGGTCCCAACATGTTCAGAGGGTCCACCTCAGGCTCACCAGCCTCTGGCTGCTGGTGTCCAAATCACAAGGCCCAGCCTATTGCTAAACCCAGGGGTGACGTCTCAGTTCTCATCTTATTGACACATGGGCAGCATCTGACCCAGCCCATCAAGCTCCCCTTCAGACACAGCCCTCCTCTCAGCCCCCGATATCTCCTTTCTGGTCTCCTTTGCTGGTCCCACCTTCTCTCCTTGGTGTCAGAATGCTGAAGGGCCACAGGGCTCAGGCTGTCAACCTCTTTGTCTACCCTCATGTCCCTGCTGATCTCATGGTTTTAAATAACCCTAGACAACAATGGCTCCCAGGCTTACTCTCCAGCCTGGGTGTCTCCCTGAATCTTGACACACATACTGCGCTTACTCGGCACTTCCACGTGCGCATCAAACTCAACCTGTCCAAACTGAATGCTTCACTCGGCCACCAACCTGCCGCACCCACAGCCATCGCCGTCTTGGCAGGTGGCAGCATCAGCCCCTGCTGGTCAGGTAGCTTCCCCGACTTCTCTCTTCCTCTCATCCTTCACTCAAGCCATCAGCCAGTCGTGGTGGCTGTCCCTTTAAAATCCATCAGGGATGCAGCCCTGCTCTCCACCACCTGGTCCCTGCCTCATCACCTCTGGCCTGGATGATAGAAACAGGTCAACCTGGGCTCCCAGCTCCCACCTGCCATGTCCCACCCCCTCAGCCTTTCCCAGCAGCCAGAGTGACCCTGCAGAAGCACAAGTCAGACATTGCCATTCTCTGCTCAAATCCCATGGGCTCCTTTTTTCACAGGGAAATAAAGCTGAAGAGTCTTACCTACTGTGGCCCCCAGTGGCCCCTGTATCCTTGCTCCTCTACTGCCCCCTGGTTCGCTTGGCTCTGACCTCCTTGCTGCTCCCCAGCACCCTGGGCCGTGCCCACCCCAGGCGCCTTGCACTGCTCTCACTTCGGCTAGAAGATGCTCTTCCCGGGGACACTTGCATGCAGGGCTGGCTCCTTTGCCACCTTCTCAGAGATCCTGCACCAGCCATCCTGTTGATCGTGCCCTGAAGTTTCACTCGCCACACATCTCAACTCCCAACCAACTATACAATTTTCTTATTTTGTTTATGGTCTCTTCCAGGACTGGAATCTAAGCGGTGATCTTTGCCCATGTTGTTTGTGGCTGGAGTTTACCTCACAGTGGGTGCTCAGTGGCTCCTATTGAATGAGTGGACAAATCCCTCTTGGTTCCTGATCCGCTGGATAACCCTTCTCTGGTCACCGTGGAGAACTTGTCCTTTTTCCTTTCCAAGGGAAAGACCTAAACGGATCTTGGCTGGATCTCACCCATTGTCTCCAAATAGGAGCCATTGTCTTTTCTTTCCCAGGCTCTTAACTTTTTTTTGCCTACTGGATTTTTTCCACCGGGATTTATATACACTGAAGGCTCCAGTTTTAGGAAACCGCTTTTTAACCTCAGACCCCACCTGGCAGCCCTTTCTCTCTTCTTCCTCCTTTCTAGCCTGTCTTCTTGGAAGACTTGGCTGCACTCATGTTCTCCACTTCCCATCAATCCCATTTCATCCTGCTTATGCCCCACCCCAAACTGCCCCCAGCAAAGTCCCCCATAGTGGGAGCCCCACTATTGTGAAATCCAACTCACAGGGCTTTGGGGTCCTCCCTGGCTCCTCACTACTCCAAGGGACACTTTCTCTCCCTGCCCCTCCACCTGTTCCATCTCAGCCATCCAGTATTCTAGCGCTATTTTGGGGGGGATGCTCAATATAAATCATTTGGCACTTGAGCATTCTCCATGTGCTAAGCCTGTTAAGCTCACATGATCCTCTGAGCCAAGCAGTATTATTGGCCCCATTTTTCTGAGGAGAAAACTGAAGCCTAGAGAGATTAGGTTGCAAGCACGTGGCCACACATTGCATCAGAGGATGGGGACCAATCTGTGTGTCCATGAGCACAACAGATCCCCAGATAGATATCAAGGCTTGTGGCTTTTATTCTGCAAATTTGGACTTGGAATATGCCCACAGTTCTTCACTTGTTCTCTGTGACAGGGGACCGTGTGTTTATAGTCCTTCTCACCAGAGTAGGTGGGGCCCCCCTGCCTGTCCCACTGATGGAGGTTTGGCTGTGAGACTTGCTTGGACCAGTGGAAACTCTTGGATGTGTTGTGAGCAGGGGCTTCAGGAGGACTTGCAGGTTTGGCCTGCCACTTATGCTCCTGCTAGACTGCCATGAAAGGAACTTATTTCAGATGGTGCTGCCCCTTCAGCCTGAGTCCCTGGTTGAGGGCACATGGAACACACCTGGAGCCAACCTAAAGCCTGGAGCCCAGCCTGGCCAATCCTATGGGAGCCCAGCCCACCTTAAACCTGCAGGGCCCAGCCAACCCACAGGCTCACGAGCAAGAAAATAGAGGCCATAGGCCACTAAGATCTAGGTTTGTTATACAGAATTATTGTGGCTGAGATCCAGCTCTATACCTGACTATATCTGAGAACAGGTGTGTTTGTGTGCCTGTGAACCACATGCCCAATACTCATGCACCTAACAGGTGCTACTGTACCCTCCTCTGAGTAGGGCCTACGCTAGGGATTAGGAAATGAATCAGTCACCATGGTCCCTGCCTTCAATGACCTCCTCTTGTCCCAGAGAAGAAAAGACACGTTCATAGATATCTGCATTATAAGGCAAACTATCTAAGAGGCAGGCAGTGAACAGGTGGAAGGTGTGGGAGGTCTGATTTCCATGCAGCAGACACTAGGTCAAAAGTGCTATTTTAACTGGGCTGGAGCATGGGATGAGCAAGAGTTGACCAACAGAAGGGGAGATGGTACTTCTAGGGGCCTCTGGAGCAAGAGCAAGGTGGGAAAGAGCTGCCATCTGCATGGGAGTGGAAAATAAGTCCATGTGGCTGGAGGACATGAGGGCATGTTAAAAAAAAAAGAAAGAAAGCCAGAAATGAGTCCTTTGACATCTAACCATGAAAGGGCTTGAGTGGCAGGTTCAGGGTGGATTTTACTGCAAGCACCTCCACTGCAGAGTCATAAGCTGGGGACTGGGATCATCAGATTAGTGGCATAGAAAGACCACTCTATGTCAGAGTGGAAGGTGGACTGGGGGACCCACAGAGGGGAGGAGACTCAGAGAGGTGGTGGTGACCTGGCAGCATGAGGTGGCAGCAGGCAGCTGAGTCAGGCTGTGGTGGCACCAGACCCAAACTGCAGGGATACTCTGGGTTCTGCTTTTCTTCCTTCCTCCCAGAGAGTTTTGGCTTTGCCAGTGGGACTCAGGAGTAGAATAGTTGCTCCTGGCTCCCTGGAGACCTGGAGGGGTGGAGGGCACAGCTGACCAATGGTGCCTCAGTACTGCAGGGCCAGGGCCAGTGTGTCTCATAGTGGAGCCTGGTGATTAGTGAAGAGGCCACGGGTGGGCACTGGGATGCAGAGACTGCAGACAAAAAGATAGTGTTTCCTTCTCACCCCCCACCAGCTAGCTAAGGCACCCCCCAAAGGAGGACATGCCCCTCCTGTTTCCATCCAGCCACAGGTACTTTGGGCTCTGGGGCTCATTTCCATGCCAGGATTTTTGCTTCCAGAGACCTTGGGTTCCTGTCCTCACAAACCTAGGGATCATGGAAGGACTGGTTGAACTGGTGTCAGTGGTGGGGGTACTATTAACCATCCTGAGGCCACACAACTCATTGTCTAGCACCCATGTTTGTTCGGCACTCTGTGTCTACCATCTCTGACATCCCGACAGGCCTAAGAGGAGGGTACCATCATTGCACCAGTGGAAGAGTGGAGGAAAGCAGAACCCAGAGAGCACCTCGCCCGGGCAGCACAGGAGTGCACAGCGTCAGAGCCCCTGCAGTTGATGGCCTGCCAATCACCAGGCAGCCATGTCTGCAGCCTGCCCAGGTGAGGCCACTTGTGCATGGGGCCAGCCCCTCATTCCCTCCCCTAGGCAGACTGCTCTTCACCTTAGATGCTGCCTGAAGTCCTCTTAGCTCAGGGAGAATCTAGGACTATAAGGGGATGGGTGTGGTACCAGGATGGCAGGTGGGGAGTGGGTTGGGGGAGAAGGATCTGCACCTCCCAGAGCAGCAGCCAGCTGGGCCTCCTGGCGGGAAGCAGGTCAGCTCAGAACCAAGCATCTCATGCTCCTCTCAGCACTCGGACCAGATTCCTGCTCCTAGTGACAGAGGCGACTCAGGAATTCTAGTTCTTGGGGAAGGGATTGCCATCAACATCCCGGGAATGTCTGACCTCACACACCACCCCAGCAGGAGCCAAGTCCCAAGGCCCTTTCCTGCCTGGGCCTGGCACAGGGTCCTGGGCTGCCCTGGCTCTGCAGTGGAAGGCTCTCCTGTTTTCCCCCCGACTCGAGACTCTTCCACTCACCCCAGGACCCAGGAAGATAACAGAGCAACACACGATCCCCATGATTGTTATGAACTCCATTTTCCAGGAAAGAAAACTGAGGTTCAGAGAAGTTGTCCAGGGCCACTCCAGAGCCATGGTCCTAATGGCCAGTCATTTCTGGCTCTAGGCTTGGAGGAACCTCCCCTGCTGCTGTGTCCCCTGTTCTCTTGGTAGATAAAAATTGAGGAATAAAGTGGTATAATCAGGAAAATGGAGCTAAAACCAGGGAGTTCAACAGAGGAAAGGAAAGGCGTCAAAGGTGTTAGAGTAGCTGAATGGCCAGATGGGGACAGTGCAGGAACTCAGAGACGAGCACAGAGGGAAGCCACCAGAGAGTGGGGTGGGGGAAGGGCTGGGGCTACCAAAGCCCAGGGACCACAGCCATGGCTGCAAGGCAGAGAGGCAGGAAGAGCACCCTGGTTCTCCCTTGTTCTTGCCCTCAGCCTCCCACCAGTGCATCCAGCAGTCAAACCTAACAGGAGGTCAGTTGCAAGAAACACTGGAAGACGTACTGTGTGGAGGCCATGCCTCTCCAATACAGAGCAGAGCAGGGGCAGGGGCTGCTACAGTGTCTCTGAGCATGAATAGGCAGATGGCTGGGACACTAGGCACAAGGTACTTGTCAGGTGGACCATGATGGCTGAGGGGACACTGAAAAGATCCCAGCAGAATGGGGAGGGCCATGGGAAGGGGTCTGAGCTGGCAGTCCCTCTGTCCACCTCAGGGGATGCCACAAGTGGTCTGGGAGGAAGATTCGCCCACAGCAGCACTAACATCCTGTGCAGTGTGGGGTCCTCTAAGATAAAGGTGCATATGTCCAAAGACAGCTGCTGCCATCCTGGGGTCTTTGGAGCATAACTCCTCTGGGCATACTCAGGGAGCACCTATGGAGCTTCAGGAAAGAATCAGTTGACTGTAGTGCTGGGCCTCTGGGCCCTCCCCTGACTCTGGGACTTGGCTACTGGGCTTTGCTGTACTCTCACAAGGTCCAATGAGTGGGCCTGGTTGTTGACACACAGGCACACCCTCCACTGTCCTGAAG